AGGAAGATAATATCAAATGTTTACAAGGACATAGAAAGAGGTGCTGCTGTTGTGAGTGTATAAACAGTTGTAGCCATTCCAGAAAGTAATCTTGTTGTATCTAGTAAAATTGTGCAAAAAGCCCTTTGTACAATATTCTAGGGTAAATATCCTAATCCAGTTCAGGGGCACAATGGGACACATACTAGGATGTTCTTTGTAGCAGCAAGAAGTTGTATTCATGACTACTGGAATAAATAAATAAAAAGTAAGTAAATATATACTATGGATTACTACACAAATTAGTTAGAAGTGATGAATAACATTAGAGCCCTGTGGACAGAGGAACATGATAGATCTAAAAAAATGGTGCTGAGTAAAAAAAAAAAAAAAATAGTATTACACCATTAATGTAAACTTCAAACACACCATATGACTTATTTGATAAGGGATACACACACACACACACACACACACACACACACACGCATTTAAGGATGCATACCAAACATAATTGTGTGCGTGCCTGTGGAGAATTGGAATTGGGAATCATGGGGAAAAGAACCAAGAAATGAGTGTTGGACTAAACAGTTTTTATGATGTACTATGAATTGAAGTCCAAAAACACAAATGCAAAAGCCATACCCTTTCTGGCCTCTATCTTAATAGAAGGCAGAGTCCTAACAATTTCAAATATCCAAACAGGAGTTCTTGGAGACTATGTAGCTATTGTTTCCACTCCAGGATCAGAGAGAAGGGCTAGGAACACTGCTGTTTTGGACTTGATACACCAGGAGGCAGGACTTGGGTTGAATTTACAATTCTGTCTCACACAAACAGCTTGCTCTCAGGTATGCAATGCAACATCCTGATTGATTTCATCATTAACAACTGCCATGTTACCTCAAGTAATCCTCAGAAAAACCTGAAAGGCTGGAATTATTTCATTTTTATAGATCACTAAACTGAGCCTGAAAGAAGTATAATCACCTTTTCCGGTTTTCCTAATGAAAAGAGCTGATATCCACATGAAGGTCTAACTCTAACACCTATACTTGTGCAGATCACCAAAAGAACGGATACTTCCATGCTCCTTCTGTAAGAATATGTCAGGAATTGCCATGCCAACACCTTTCAGAAAGCTGACCAGGAAGGTGACTCACTCCCCAGCCACTCAAGTACCCTCACCTCATGGCTTCAAGGAATCTGCTTTTCCCCACCATACAATCTATTGTCTCCGTCTTGAGGTTTGTGAATAAATAGAAATATCTTAGTAGGGTATGGCAAATTGGTATGCTAAGTAGGAACTTGAAATCTTGTTCTAACAAGGAAATATCTTTTTTAAGATACCTTTAAAAGGGGCCCAATCACAATGGCGCAATTCTGCCCAAAATTCATGTAGAGCCCTAGCATCCAAAGAGAGTAACTACTAAAAGGGTACATGACTCAACGGAAAATTTAATTGTATATCACACAAAGTTTTGCATTGTGTTGGCTCAGGAAGAGATGTCGGAAATACTTAAAAAAAAAAAAAGAAAACCTTTTGTAGGAAGAAGAGTATGCAGAAGTGGAGCCACATTTCCTTTGAACTCATTTGCATCAATTGAGACAACTTTTAATGAAAATTAATTTCCAAATGGTCGTTTTTAAACTTCAGTTATTGAAATAATGTTTCACAAATCCTGAAACAACTTAAAGTTTTGTAAAGGGTAATTTATACTTCTTATTTAAAGTGAGCTCTGCCGTGAAGTTGGGCTTTTTCTTCTTGGGCAGCAGGAATGATAGAAAATAGAAAATGTAGTATATGAGGTAAATGCAGTCTTACTTTAGTGTCTTTAGCAGGGCCCCCATGGTTACCTAGCAAGACCTTTTACTGAGAAAAATGGTTTCCCTTCTTAAAAGGGAAACTTCTATTTCTGGTTTCATGTTCTCTTTCAAATATCTATGCTTGTTTTTTCCCTTCCTAAATTCCTTGGAAAGTAGCTAACATCACAGCTTCGGGCAGGAAACACTGAGGATGAGTCTGGAACATCCTATTATTGCCAGGAAGTAAGGAGGTTTGCAAAGATGTGAGGGCAGCGCTGAAGGGAGCAAGGAGTGAGCTTAAAGTGGCCACTAGCTGCTAAGTTCTAACTATTTGAGTATCAAAAATATATACATTGTGATTAATTGAAATGTGTTAAGATTGTAAAAGGCCATGAATTCATAAGATTAAAAAGAAAAATGTTAAAATGCAATACATACATAGGCATAATAAAATATGAGAATTTATTAAGTACAAAGTACACACACACACACACACACACATTTCTATGTTTTATATACCTAATGGATAGGAATTGTGTGTGTGTGTGTGTGTGTGTGTGTGTGTGTGTGTTTAATAGATAGATCTCTTATCTCTCCCAGGTCTGTAGTCAAAAGTCAACTTCAAAGGAGACCTTCTCTGGACACACAAGCTACAATATCATTCTGGTCCCCTACCTCTTCCTTCATCTTTTTCTCCTTAGAATTTACTCTTTTACATAGTATATATTTTATCTATCTATCTATCTATCTATCTATCTATCTATCTATCTATCTATCTACATTTTTATTGCCTGCCTTCCTCATAAGAAATCAGCTCTATAAAGTCAGGGGGTTTTGTCTGTTTTATTCACTACTTTTATCTCCAATGCCCAGATTAGAACAAAACCTGGCACACAGTAGGCACTCAATACAAAATTTTTAAATAAAACATACACAAATATAAACCCTCTGCTTAATGAAGAATAAATTTAAAAACTCTTAAATATGACAAGCAAAAATTATATAAACTATAACAAGGCAGAAAGATATGTTCAGCATAATAACCAAATTTTAAAAAGGAATTCAAAGCTTCATCACCATTCAGCACATTCAACAAAGTGGAAAGGGTTTCACCAGTATGTTCTAAATGAACTGAACAGACTCAAACCCTCATCTCTTAGGACAGGAAATCTCTAGATGGTCCTAGTATCTATGTATCAGATACTAATAAAGCATGAGTTTTTAATAATGCTAAAAGGTCAAGTCAATATATCACAACAATACAATGGATTGTATAGTTGCAAATAAGCAAAATTTAGTACTACATTGTGAGGAGAAATACCAGATTGTAAAATACAAACACCTATGCTAAAGGCATGGGTGTAAAAGATTTTATCAACATTACAAATGAAGTTTAACTGTAAAAATAGAATCAATGGTTTGGGTTTGTCACCTTGGAGCAAGAAATCAGGTTTATATGTAGATCAAGAATCAACTAATGAGGGCCAGCCTAGTGGCGCATTGGTTAAGAGCTGGCTTGGGATGCCAGCTCTGAGCAACAGGGCCCCGGTTCAGATCCCACATGAGGGCCAGTGACACTGCCCTCTACAGCTAAGATGGTGAACAACAGCTCGGCCTGGAGCTGGGCTGCCCTGAGTAGAGTCCCTGGCAATGATGTAGGCTGCAGCCCCTGCTGCAGTGGGCTGCCATAAGCTACTGTGAGTGGCCGGCAGCCAGCGTGAGCAGCCAGCAGCTGGTGTGAGCTGCCAAGAGTCGCTGTGAGCAGCCGTCCAGAGGCCAGCAACCGATCTGCTTACCCGGGAAGAACGCAATGATAATACCAACATGGGTCAGTGAAGTGACGTCCTCCACAACTAGACTGAAAAACAAAAGGACAGCAACTTGTCTGTTCCCCTTCCCCGATTCCCTAACGCTGTTCTCTTCCCCAATAAAATCTTAAAAAAAAAAAATCAATTAATGAGTAACTTAGACTCTTTGACTATCTGAGTCATTATTCTTTTTCCTTGAGGCCTGGTAATTATACTGCAACCTTGGGGAACTTCCAAAATAAGTTATTACTTAACCCTTAGAAAGTATTAAAATAAGTATTCTTATACCTCCAGGAAATGTAAGAAAAATAAATGACATGAATTTAGCTTATGGTAGTAATATATTTTAGATCAGGTGTAATATGTTTGACAGTGTTTTATAACTAATTACATTTGTTTCCGTTCAAGGTTTGAAGTATCAATTATAGTAAATCTGTAGTTTGAGTTGTTTAAAGGGAATCTGTCTTTAGACTTTGGACAAAATAATTTTCAGATTTTGTTAGCTATAAGTATGAATTGAGAAAGAAATTATGAAAATGGTAGTCATTGTTTTGCTCCATGCACATATATAAATCCTTCACTTTTTCCTAATTCATTTGTTCTTATATGTTTTTATAGATACTCTCCAAACAATACCCAAGATTCTAACTGGTTCTAACTGTTCGAGGTAGTTATGTTTCCATATTATCAAGGTTAACCTCCCTATATCCACTCATAAAATAGAAATACATGTATACTGCCCCACACCCTCATGTTCTTCCTTACTCTGAAGAATGATAATGATTTATTCTCTAAAAATCTTAGGCTCCAACTTCTCTATTTTTACCATTAGTTGAAAATGGCTCATTCTTTCTGTCTGCCAGAATGTCTTTATCTGATCTCTCTAGTTCCAAAGAAGTTATCTATAAACTTCTTAAAACAAGTTTACAACACACCCACAAAAATCCTCATTAACAATTTTATCTTATTATTATATTCTATCATAAAATATGTTTAAACCACACTGAAAACAGGAAATCAAGTAATTCCTTTAAGATGAAGAGCCAGTCATTAAACCAATGGATCCATTCTCTTAGTTTGCCATTCTTTCTTTGAAGGCCTATGGTGAATCACTGCCACAAATGATTTTAATTCTTTATGAGAAAGCCTGTTAGGGACTTTTACTAGGTGAATTTTTAAAAATCCATCCATATTGTGAAACAGACTAATACTAAATTAATTTTTATCAATAAAATGAAGTAATTATCTGCTTTATGAAGTCTGTATATTCAACTTTCATATATTTGTTATATCATAAAATTTCTCCTTAGGATAATTATGCCATATAAAAGATCAAGGCTTTATTACATGTATAGTAAATATAGGATGTACGAGTCGGACTCCAATTCCAAGAGGCAAAAATCCAACTAAAGCAAAAAAAGGAAATTTATTGGACACAAAAATGAAAAACTAAAGGATGGTGTAGACTTCAGGCACAACTGGATCTAGGAGACCAAACAATTTCATCAGATTTCTGTCTCTCACTTCCATTTTCTTCTGTGTTGGATTTATCTTGGGAAGGCTTTCCTCATGTAACAGCAAAAACAAAACAACCAACCAAGCCAAACAAACAAAAAAAACACAAAACAAAACTGCTGGTGAGTTTTTAACCCTACTAAATCCTTGAAACTTGCAATTCCAGAGGGAAAAAAAATCTCTAACTACCCATAACAATACCCACACCTTCCCAGGGCTGTATTGGTCTAGACAAGGCCATTTGCAATTCCCTAGGTTGAGGGAAATGACTGGCTAGCCTATGACCAATCCACTGTTCTCCCTGTTTAATAGTTTCATCAGAATCATATGCATTGAGGGTGAGTCTCAAATGAGGCAAAGTAACAGATGTCTACTACTCAGGCTGTTTCAAGTAAGGAATGCTCATGAACTAATGGTTTTTCCATATGTACCATATTCATAGAATTACTAACCAAGAATTCACAGATATTTAAATGAGGATTGAGTGGTGACTAAATGTTTTCTTTCTTATGCTTGTTATAATCAGAGAGTTTCTCTATTATGAATTTTCTGATGTCGTCTAAGAGCTGAGGCACAGCTAAAATTATTCCCACATTCATTACAGTTATAGGGTTTTTCTCCAACATGAATTCTCTGGTGTAGCCTAAGGGACAAGATCTGATGGAAAGCCTTCCCACACTCATTACATTCATAAGGTTTCTCCCCAGTATGAATTCTCTGATGTTGATTAAGGTATGAGCCACAACTGAAGGCCTTCCCACATTTGTTACATTCATAGGGCTTCTCTCCTGCATGACTTCTCTTATGATGAATTAGAACCAAAGCATCACTGAAGGCTTTCCCACATTTACTACATTCAAAAGGTCTCTCTCCCGTATGAATTCTATGATGTCGATTAAGTTGTGAGTCAGTCCTGAAAAACTTCCCACATTTGATGCACTCATAGGGCTTTTCTCCAGTATGAATTCTCTGATGTTGATTAAGATGTGAGCGATAGCCAAAGGTCTTCCCACATTCATTACATTTAAAGGGTTTCTCTCCTGTATGAATTCTTTGATGCAGAGTAAGGGCTATGCGTCTGCTGAAGGCTTTTCCACATTGATTACATTCATAGGGTTTCTCTCCAGTGTGAATTCTCTGATGTTGATTAAGATGTGCGCTTTGTCTGAAGGCTTTGTTACATTCCTTACATTCATATGGTTTCTCTCCTGTGTGAATTCTCTGATGTTCAACAAGGAAGGCATAACGGCTAAAGGCCTTCCCACATTCATTACATGCAAAGGGTTTCTCTCCAGTGTGGATTCTCTGATGCTGAGCAAGGTGTGCACTCTGTCTAAAAGCTTTGTTGCATTCCTTACATTCATATGGTTTCTCTCCAATGTGAGTTCTCTGATGTTCACTGTGAAAGAAGTCATGGCTAAAGGCTTTCCCACAGTCATTGCATGCATATGGTTTCTCTCCACTGTGAATTCTCTGAGGCTGAGTAAAGAACGAGTAACAGCTAAAGGCATCACCACATTCATCGTATCCATGGGGTAATTTTCCGAAATGACTTGTTTGATGTTGAGTAAGTAATGAGTGAAAACTTAAGAGATTTGAAAAATCATTACTTTCATAACGTTTCTCCCCAGGAGGAATTCCTATATCTTTACTAAGATGTGTACTCTTGTTCAATTCTTCACGTTCATTACCTATCAAAGATTCCTTCTCAGCATGTTGTCTCTTATGTTCAATTAGGACTGAATTTGGGGGGAACATTTTATCATAAATATCAAATTTATGTACTTGCTCTACTGTGGAAACTCTCTGTTGTGTTAAAAGTACTGACTTCAAGAGAACACTTCTCTCAGAATAATTATATTCATTGTCTCTTTTCACAGAAGAAATTTTCTTGAGACTTGTCACTTGTCTAAAATGCCTCTCTTGATTTTCATGCTGCTGCTCAAATTCACCCTCATATTTCCAAGCTTCTCTGAAATTGGAGCATTCAAGGTCATGACTTGTAAGTCTTTTCATTACCATCCTCTGGGAAATTTCCTCTTCATCAATGTACCATTTTGGAGATAATTCCTTAATTTCATACCAAGACTCCCAGTCTGCAAAATATCAAGAAAGTAAATGATTCTGTTTTTCCTTTGCAAGGAAAAAGAAAACTATTATAGAAGAAATTGAAAAATTTAATTGGGAGAATGAGGGGAGAAGGTACATGGTTCTGACATCTCTCAAATACAATCATATAATATGAACAAAATACAAAGAAAGCACAAAGAATGAAGAGAGCTCATGAAGGAAGGATGTGTGTGTTAGTGATGAGGAGGAAGTGATTGGGGAAACACAGTAAATGTAGGGCATCAAGATGCAGACAAAGCAAAATTCCAAGAAGATAAAGGATTGGAGATAACTGGTTAGATCATAATCACAGTTTCCCTGCCTCTAGTCTTTTAAGTCTCCAGTCCATCCTGCACTATCCAGTCCTATTAATAAGACTAAAGCTTCTTGAGGGATGGGATTGATATTTACTTCTCTTTCTTCTCCCTGTTGCATCAGTGCCTAGGACAATGACAGCATTTTGTTGAATGAATGTTGAAAGAATGCTCAAGAACTTCTAAAATTTTATCAGAGATGAGAGGAAAAAAAAATTTTTTTCTCGGTGTTTAGAAGGAATCTGGAGGTCAGCTTTTCTCATCATTGAGAGAAAAAATAGAGTACATACTTGATACTTGCATGAGAGGATACTGGTTGAAATAAAATAGAAAGAAAACTATTGTTTAAAAGATGATCTCAAAAAGAGGAAAATGAGGAAGTCCTTTTAATGTCACACGACAATAATCAGCTAATATATTCAACTATATAGAACCTACTACTAGAGCAACTAGTAGAGGGGGTAAATTCTGAGACACAGGTCTTTCTCCCTTTTTAAACTCTAAGGAGAAAGATAAAACTTCTGTGTACAGAAATTCAATATGGCACATAAAGGATGATTAGTTAACATGATACTGATTATTAGTAGTATAAGTGTCAGAAAAACAGAGATCAAAACTCTCTAGCTTAGTTAAGGAATAATTCCTGGAGAATGTGAGCTTGATTTTCAAGGCTCTGGTAAGACTTCCAAAATATAGTAATTATTTCAGTGATGGAATCATTTTCATGTTTTAATATGCTTAGGAATTATTTTAGAACTCCACATGTTAGCATTTTGGGGTTAATTAGATACATCTTTTCCATAACTGTTTCCCATCTATTGTAAACAAAGGTGCCTCCATGTTAGATCAGTACAAAATTGAAAAGCAAAGAACATATTATTCATCTGTATCTTTCTTCTTTCTAATACAGCCTCTACTTCAAGGAAAGCCCCCACCTCTAGCAGTTCCTCCTATGCACAGCCATAGATTTTTCTCTTCCTTGGCACCCTATCTCACTCAACTCATGCCTGAGAGGGCTTTGTTTATTTATCCTCTGTTATCTCCATACTGTTCTTTCTTTCTGTAGAAGTACAACTACTTCTATTCTCTTACCCATTCTCCTACAACATTTTCCATATTCATTGCTCAAGGCCGCTACATTCCCTGTTACCAAGAATAAATCTTTTCTCTACTCCAGGCAAATGGCAGCTTTACATAATACCTAATACAATGCTGAGTAAAGAAGCCTGATGGGAGAAGACTGCAGACATTTCTGATATGGGGTATTTGGAGGTATCTGAAGCTCCAACCACTCCGCCCCCCGCCAAAAAAAAAAAAAAAGATATTCTGGACTTAGGCCGATAAATACTGTAGGAAAAGGAACTCCACATGGGGTATTTCCAGGGGAAACTATAGAGCAGGAAATAAGTACTGTATATGTAGAAGACATATTCACTATCATTGGAGTAGAGAAATACTTAGAAGTCAACGGTTTCATGATGACATTCAACAAAAGAGAAAAGACAATTCTCCCTTATCAGTAACTGATTCAGGGGACAAGGGAAGTTATGGATTCAGGCAAAATGGAAAAGCGCTATTGGGTTGTCAGAAGAGTCATGAAGTATTTTTTCTGTTTTTTGTTACAAAAATGCATCATGACTTTTTGGACAACCCAATAAAAGGTCCATGTTGCACAGTGGAAACACAGGGTTTGGGATCAGACAAAGGTGGGTTTGAATCCTAACTGTATCTAACAAGCCAGTTATATTACCTTTAACAAACAGATTAACCTACCTTTTCAGCTTCAGTTTCCTAGCAGGCAAAATGAGGTGACCTTGCAAGTATGGTATAAAAATAAGGAATAATATATTTATAACATACCTAGCAGTGTTTGGCTCATTATAGATATTTGGTGATACTTATCATAAAATGTAACACATTAATGTATACTCAGTAAGTATTTCTTATACCTATACCACTAGTAGGCTCAGATTTATTACATCTGATTATGTGATAGGCTGATGTGATACCTATTATATCACAGGATTGTGAAATAAGCTGATGGTCAAGTGGCAAGACCAAGAACGGGAGAGGTAAACCCTTTGGGGTTAAAATGTATCCAGGCAATATGTTAGATATTAGAGATATGTCATTTCCAACTGATTATAATTTGTAAGTGGAGGGAAGTTATAAATCAAGGTATGATCAACTCTGCAATCCAATCAGAACTACATAGTAAGTAGGCTTATGTATAATGTTGGAAAAGGGAAAGGTCTTACTAGACTGTGGACCTAGTTTCCCACATGTTCAACTGGTGACCAGTAGATAAAATGGTAGACAGACTGATGAAGTAAATCATCTCCTGGTATGAAACCCAGGAGATTCTAGTGGGAAGTCTGAAAAAAAAAAGCCAATACCTGTGAGGGGAGTCTTTTTATTTATTTATTTTTTTAGTGAAATATAGTTGATACAATATTATATTAGTTTCAGGAGTATACAACATAGTGATTCAACATTTATATTCTTTATGATGTGATTACCAGAATAAGTCCAGTAATCAGGAACTGTCTGTCACCAGATAATGTTATTAGGATAATATTGACTATTTCTCTATGTTGTATATTACATCCCTGGGATTTTTTTTTTAGTAACTGGAGATTTGTACCTAATGGGGAATCTTAAGAAGAAAGTAGGAATTTGCTGCTAATGCCCAGAATATGTTCCAATGAATAACCTGACCAATGACACACAGACTTACAGATTTGATCTCCTTTTGTAAAAGACTGTATAGAGCTATGCTGTCCAATATGGCAGTCACTAACCACATATGGCAATTTAAATTAATTAAAATAAAATTTAAAATTCAGTTTATCAGTCACACCTAGCCATATTTAAATGCTCAAGAGCCAAACATGGCTAGTGGCTACTATATTGGAAAGCCTCAGAGATATATTGTGTTGTCGGAAAACTCATGATGCATTTTTGCAACAAAAAACATAGAAAAATACATCATGACTTTTCCGACAACCCAATAGATCATTTCCATCACCACAGAATGTTCTATTAGATAGCACTGTATAGAGATCCAGATTAATATGACAAAGATGGTACGTTTGAATGAAGAAAAGACAGAAAAATAGGGACAGGAGCCAGTTAAAGGGAGACAGAAACAGAACACAACTTTGGACAGAGAAAAAGAATTGGGGTCAGAACTACCCTATACACCTCATAAAATCTCCTGGGTTTCAGACCAGGGAATGATTTACTTTATCAGTATATCTACCATTTTCTCTACTGTTCACCAGTTAAGCATGTGGGAAACTAGGTCCACAGTCTAGTGACACCTTTTCCTCTTTCATAGGCTGAGGAATATGAAAATGAAGAAAGGCACCTGGATTTAATCAAAGTAGAGGGGGAGAAGCCAGATTGCAAGTGGTAATGGAAGAGAATCGGAAGTAAAAGTAATGAGTGAAGATTACAATTGGTATATAAGTAATTGGAAGAGAGGAGGGAGTATGGTATACAGGAACACTAAAAAGGCCTATAAAATGTTATGAAATTATTTTAAAGAAAATTTAAACAAAAAATACAACTGCACCAAATGAAAAAAATCTGTATGCATGCCTGTTTACCCCAAGTTAATTTATATCAGGTCAATTACATTCAGAATTCCATGAAAGGTTTATTTCTGAACTTATAAAATTATTTTAAAGACTGCATGGAAAAAATGATCAATAATAAATATAAAAGAAAATTCTGAGGAAAGAAATAAGTTTCTAGGACCAATAATATGACCTAAGCCTTGCATTTTATACCTTCCTTCCTTAAAATCCCTGCAAAAGTTCTAAACCAGGGTGATAAAATTCTCTATAATTGTGGGGAAATGTCAAGAGAAACATACTGAAGCATAAAAAAACTTACAGGATGCAGAGAAGAACCCAGCAAACAGGAACATGAATTCCCCCCTACTGTTACAGCAGCAATAGGAAACTAATATAGAAATCAAACTGGTATAACCTTTCTGGAAGGGATGCACTTAATCAGCAATCCCACATCTAGGAATCTACCTTGGAAATATAGCCTCAAAATATGAAAATACATATGTGTAAGGTTATTCATTGCAGCATTGTTTGTAATTATAAAACAGTACAAACAACCTAAATGTCCATACATCAAAGAGTAGTTGACTATATTATGATAACATCCAAATAATGGAATATTTTGCAGCTGTTAAAAAAATGAGAACGCTTCCCATGAACTAATATGGAGTGATTCCCTGTATATACAGTTAAGTGAAAAAGCAATATGCAAAGAGTATCTATGGTATGCTACTCTTCACATAGCATACAAGAAGATACAGGAAACTACATATATATCTGCTAGTTTGTGCAAAAGAAACATAAAAAGGACAAACCTGAAAATAAAGAGATTGGTTATCTACAAGGGTTGAGTAAGAAAGGGGTAGGAAGAAGAAGGGAATACAAACAGGATAGTAGGGATGAGATGGGAACAGTTTTCTGAGGATGTATTTTTGAAGAGCTCTGATTTTATTTTTTGTAGCATAGTGATGTTTCAGATACAAAAAAGATAAACAATTCAAACCAATCAGGATGTGTGGTAGGAACTCAAAATGGAATACAAACAGTAACAAATGAACCTAAAAGACCTAACCTAAGTAACTTCATAAAATAGTATTTTGAATGAATACTGTAAGACTAACAAAGAAAAGAACCAATAATGTAATCTAGTTAGTAATTTGTTTCTCACAGAGAAATAGATTGGAAATTCTGAAATTACTTTATGTAAATATTAAAATTGAGCAAATAAGTAAATATATTGTTTCTCATTGTCATAAAAATAAATTACAAGTAAGTAAAGGAGGAAGGCTACAATAAACCCTGTGGAGCAGGACTAGAATCAGGATATCAGTATAAACTGATAGTTTTAATATATAAAAAGACAGAGGCAGAAATAAATATAGAAGAGTGTTTGTGTGTTATTATACGTACATTTATTTCCCAGCTTAATCTACTGTGAGGGCCTAGAAGCAATGGCATCCCAGTAGCATTTAGCACTCCTAACACCCAGAACTTGGTTTCTAAACATCATTTCCCAATAAAAGGAACCAGGTCCCCTTGGAAAAATGGTTGATTCAAGGCTGGGGTAAGGAAAACAAGATGCATCTGGGACACCTGGAACCACAAAGGAAGGATGTGCTCAAAAAATGGACGGAGGCATGTCAAAAGGTCAAAGGAACCAACTTGAAGGAGATCCCAATGTTTAAAGCTGGAACAATTTGAGCAACAAAATGATTCATTGGATTTATCTCACAGAAAAAAATAAAAATCCCTGGTTCCATAAACATAAAGAAATAATTGAATATACAACTAAATAGGAGTAAGGAACAGCTCTTCCCTACAGAACAATCCTAATTAATATATATAAAGAAAAGAGGGAAATGGAAAAATCAACATTAGGTCAAGACTATGGTACTGTTGCAGACAAGATCTAATAAGCCAATGAATGCTAAAACTAGTGGGAAAAAGTTTTAGAAGGAACTGCATAGTTTCAAAGTATCTTCCCCAAGATATTTACTAATTACAAACAGAAAAACACTAGTTGTACAATGGAGAAACAAGGCAGACACCACCTTCACCAAGTAATCAAAATTAACATAATCAATAATAAGACATATATCAATATTACGAAACCCTTGGTATATGCACTGAGAGAGATACATTATTTCTGTGCCACTCTTTTCAAAAAATGCATTACCTCAAGCTAATCATGAGATAACATCAGATAAACCCAAATTCAGTGGAAGCAGATATAATGAGCCATTTTTCCAGAATAGAGCATATCTGAAGACTTGAAATTTCTCCCAGAAGATGAAATCAACAGATTACCTAATGTGTCTAATTGTCTTAAGAGATTTAGATAATTGATGGGGAATTGGGAATTGAGTAAGGAATGTGTATGTAAAAAACTAAGCCAAAAAAAAAAAACCAAACCACAAAATCCCCAGATAATTAACTAAAGGCAAAATAAAAAGTTGTACAGAAAAAGTAATCTTGGTATATGCACAGCATTGCTATGACTAGCATTTAATAGCCATAATAATGTAAACGCTAAACTATGATTCAATCAAAATTATGATTTTGGTGAGATTGAGACTGGGGCATGGGAAGAGAGAGGAGAGAAAGAAAGAGAAAGAGAGACAGAGCGTGTATGTGTGTGTGTGTGTGTGTGTGTGTGTGTGTGTGTGTGTGTGTGTGTGTGTGTGTGAGAGAGAGAGAGAGAGAGAGAGAGAGAGGGAGAGAGAGAGAGAGTAATGGTTTCAGGATAAAAAAATACTAAATTCTTATTTTCTTGGTGAGGAGATACTTGATATGGACTAATCTTGAAAAAACAAGAAATAGCAACATAAACATATTTATTAGAGACATGAAGGAAACATCAAAAGAAACTGAAAAAAAATTTTAATAAAAAAACAAAAAAACATGCATGGCTGCTTTTGCAGCATAAACAAAAAAAAACAAAAAAAAAGAAAAGAAACTGCAAAAGAAAAGCAAGTGGACCCCCTCTAAGGAGAGGGAAACTGGGAGCAGAGCAAGAGACTGCCTTTTTTTTTTTCTTTTAGGGAAAACTACTTGGCTCTTTAAACAATGTGAATGTATAACTTTGACAATAACTTTCATAAAAATAAAAGCTCTAGAAAGAAATCTATAAATGTATACAATTCTGACTGTAAATGGTAAAGAAGAGCATGGAAGGACTGGGATTCAGGGTATAGGTAGGAGCATTACAGAGAGTACAGTCTGATAGAAACAGAAAGGAAAAAACCCAAGGTGTAGGTGAGGTTTCTAGGGAAGTGCAGTTTCCTTCTGAACCCAGGGCCGCCTCCTCAAGTGCAGGGCAGTCTGCTCATGACCACTTTGGCTGACACATTACAACAGCCCTCCCTGCCTGGTTCCCGGTCACTCACCAGTATATTGATCATCTGACATCTCTCTCTCCACCGTCCAAGGTTCCTTCCCTTGCTCCAATAAGGAGATCATGTTGGGCTTCGAAATGGATAGTCCTGTTTACAGGAGAAGAAAAATAAGAGCAAGAGAGACAGACAGAGTATACTATAGCTGTTTCAGGACTCACACGCAATCTCTTGGTCATTAGGCAAGAAAGGACATTAGAGGAAGGGCTTGAGAGTGGAATGATGCTTGTATGGAAGATGAAGCTTCTTCCATAGCAGTGGCTTTCAAAGTGCTAGAGCAGAAGCACCATCACCTAGGAAATTATAAGAAATGCATATTCTCAGGCCCCAACCCAGACCTACTGGATCAGAAACCACAATGGTTATCGAATGTTCATAGGCATCAGAATCATTTGGAGGGCTCATTAAAACCCAGACTACTGAGCCTATTCCCAGAGTTTCTGATTCTGAATGGTCTAGCGTGGAACCCCATAATTTGCAATTTACCAAATTCCCACGCGATGTTGATGCTGCTATTCCAAACCATCATTCTACAGCAAAGGGAGCCACTGATTTCTAACTCTATAACACTACTTCAAATCATTTCCTGGGGACAGGAAGTAGAAATTCAGCTAAGCACTTAAGATGCCCTAGGTATTCTCACTGGAGGAAGCAAAAAAAAACACCCCAGAGGGAAGATTTTGAATTATGGGGGACAGACATCCTTACCAAGGCATACCAAGTTCCTGTAGTTCTCCAACATGACATCTCTGTATAAATCCTTCTGAGATGTGTCCAGCCATTTCCACTCTTCTTGGGAAAAATCTAGAGCCACATCCCTAAAGGTCACCAATCCCTGAAATTTAAAAAAAAAAAAATCTTGTTTGCCAAGTGCTCACATATGATCCTAGCAAAAAAAAATTCTGCCTGAATTCAAAGCTCTAAATGGTCCAAGGAAAATAATTATTGGAGAACAAGTACGTAACCAGGTTTGTCAAATATTGTGAGACAAAAAGAGAAATATCAGAAACAGACTTACCCCTTGGAAATTATACGTTTTTTTTTTTAAATGAAAGAGCAAGGACATATACACAGAGAAAAAATTAGCTTATAGCATGAAACATGAGTTTTATAACAAAAGTATATGAGCAAAATCTAACTTTTATGTTACATATACTAAGTATCAACATTCTTATAGGGAGAATTCCTTTATATTCCCTAAACTGCGATAGCAGATGGCTCAGAGTAGTGAAGGAAGGCCTTGAATTGGGCATTAACAAACAGGTATGGTCTGAAATTTAGACTCTACATGTAAGGAAAAACTTCCAGGAGTGTATCTTGAAGCAACGTTGACCAAAGTGTCCACTTGTATGTATGTTTTTGGCACCCCTAGTACTTGTAAATAGTCCCTTTTGAGTTTCTTGCCAGAACCCTGACTGATAAACATGTTGATCCAATGTACTTCTAGGATATCCCACCAAAAGCACCGCTATGCAACTCTACTACACTTCCTTAATAAATCCCCTCTCCCATTCCCCGAGACTATTTCATACCTTCTATCTCGCTCTCTCTCAAATCACCACTAACTCCTCCCCTGTTCTCACTTTGTACTTCCTCAGTGTCTAGCCCACCATATGTACTTACTGACCTGGATCTGTACTCATTTGTCTGCCTTCCCTCTGTTACTACAGATAAAATGCTAGGCTTCCTATCTAAGACCAATCCCTCCACTTGTCCATACAAGGACATTGTCACCTCTCTTTCTTGCAAACGTCAGGGAGCTATCAGATATATCCCTTGTATTACTAGTATTTTCTCACTTTACTGGATTATTCCTATCAATATATAAACTGATGCAATATCTTCCATCTTATAAATAGACAGATACATAAATTCTCTCCCACGATTGCACTCTAGCTATTGTCCCATTTCTCTACTCCTCTTAATAACAAAACTCTTTCAAAGAGTTGTTTAAATCAGTAGTGTCCAACAGAAATACAATGTGAACCATGTATGTAATTTAAACTTTTTCAGCAGCTACATTTAAAAAGTAAATATAAGTTAGTGTAATATTTTTAATTTAACCCAATATATGTAAGATGTTATTTCAACCTGTAATCAATACAAAATTATTAATGCTTTACATTCTTTTTTTTGTACTGAATCTTCAAAATCTGGTATGTATTTTATATTCATAGCACATCTCAATTCAGAGTAGTTATATATGGCTACTGGGTACATTATTAGACAGCACAAGTCTAGACTCATTGTCTCTGTTCTCACTTTTTTCACCTTCTGTTGTCTCTGGAATCTACTGCAATGATGCTTTCATCCCAACCACTCTATTGTTGTTGTTGTTGTTATTATTATTATTATTATTATTATTATTATTATTTTAGCTGAGCCATCCTGCCAACTGTTGGGAGCTCAGCGGCAGCTCAGCTCAGGCTGGGAATCGAACCAGCAACCATGTTGCTCGGAGCTCGCACTCTTGAGCAAGCCCTTAACCAACTGAGCCACTCAGCCGGCCCCCCAACCATTCTAAAAAGTCGCTCTTTTCAACGGTATCAGTAGCTTCCATGTTACCAAATCCAGTGGCCAGTTATCAGTCTTCATCTTCCTCAATCTCTCAGAAGGATTTAACTTAGTTGATTATCACCTCCTTGAAAGATTTTCTACTCTTGACTTCCAGGACCCATACTCTTCTAGTTTTCCTCCCACAGAAGTCCTTCTCAGTCTCTTTTGCTGGTTCCTCCTCTTCTTGTCAGCCTCTAAATGATAAATGCCTTAAACTCAGTCCTTGGACCTCTTTGCTATCTACATTCACCACAACCTCAAGATAATCTCATCTTGTCCTCTGGCTTTAAATACACTAATGATTCTCAAATTCCTATCTCCAGTCCTAAACTCCACGTATATAATCAATATTCTACTTGGATATCCAACACATCTCTCAAACTTAATATACCTAGAACTCAATTCTTGATTCCCACCTCATCCACCTAGTCTTTCCATCTCAGTAAAGGGCATGGCCATTTATACAGTTGCCCAGGTCAAAAATCTTTGTAATCATCCATGATTTCTTTCTTCCTCTCACATTTCACAACCAAGTCCCTGATCAAATCCCTTATTTTCTATCTCCAATATATATCCAGGATCTCACCAGCTCCAACACCACTGCTAAGGTCCAAGCAGCTATCTCCTCCCACCTGGATTACTGAAGTAGTCTCCTGAATGGCCTCCCTGCTTCCACCCTTACTTCCCTTACTTCTCTTTCCTTTTTAAAACATAAGTCAAGCATATCACCAACACTCCAGTGGCTCTCCTTCTCCCTTAGTACAAAACTCAAAGTTCTGATCATGACTTTCAAGGGCCTATATAATTTGTTCCCCAGCTACTCCTATGACCTCACAGTGCTCATTTGTCTCCAAGGATACTGGCTCATTGTTATTCCTGAAACACATCAAATGTGCTTCCACCATAGTAACTTTATACTTGCTATTGCTCCTACTTTTAAAGCTCTTCCCCAGATCTTCACAAAACTTACTACTTTCACTGAAGTGTTTCTTTGCTTAAATCTCACTTCCTCAGAAAGGCCATCCTTGACCTCCCTGTTTAATAAGGCACTCAATAATTACTCTATCTTTTGTTTCACTTGCATTTATCTCCAACACAACTCATGATCCATCTAAAGAGGGACAGTTCTGTTTCATCACACATTTGAGCACAACACTGAGTAAAAGAGATATTAAATGTTTTCTGGAAGGATTATATGAACACATGGTGGAGAGAAGTGGAGAGAGTGCTCACTGGATTATATGTGACTCTCTCTGTAGTTCAAAGTCTTGAAAAACGAGGTGGAATTTCTGGAAACAAAGTGAAAACATCAACTTGCCTGGAAAATGGATTTACAAAGTCCAACAGCCATTCCTCCTTCCTTCTTCAATTTTCTCTTTTGGAGAATAAAGTCCTGAAAAGGGAGAGTTAAAGAAGAAAAAATGGCAGACCAGCCCTACGTTGCTGATCTGAGACTTACAAAGATTGAGCCATTGCCCCTTTAAGGTCCCCATAGCCTCAGTTCTACCCCCTTCCAAGATCTGAGAAAAAGGCCAAAGCTGATCTTAACTCCTTAAATCCTGACTGATAGTCAGAACACAGCCTGCACTCAACAAAATCAAAAGTCCATTCTATGGCTAACAAGGCAATTTATGATCTGGGCCTGGCTCCCACACAGACCTCATTTCCTCCTCTCTCACGTTTGGTCACCCCACTCCAGGCACACAAGTGTCCTTACAGTTTCACAACCCCTGCACATACTCCTGCAAGGCTATTGTCTTTGCTTTTCCTTCTGCCTGGACATGGCCCACTCTCTTTTCATTCCTATCTGTGCTCAGTTGTCACCACATCAGAGGGACTTCCCTGAAAATTCTATCTGAAGAGAATCTCCTTTCCAGTCTCTTTTTCTTATCCTGATTAATACTTTTCTTCTTAGCATTTAACACCATCAAACACATTATTTATTTTTTTCCTGTTTACTGTTGTCTTCCCAATCAATAGTGTAAGATCTAAAAGAGCTAGGATTTTTTAGGTTCACTGGTGCTAGAATAATACCAGAACCATTGCAGGTGCTCAAAAAATATATGATAAATCTTTCTGTGCCTCCTGTAATATATATAGTGATGTTACACATGTTGTACATATCTGTATCTTATTTAATCTACACAAAACTGCAAAGGTAGGTGTTATTATCCCCATTTTACCAACAAGTGAAATTGAAGTTCAAAAAGCTTAAACAACTAACTGAAAATCGTAAGAGTCAAACTGTGGTGTGACTCAAAAGCTGGTCCTCTTTCAAAAGCCAAACTATTTGAATGGGAAATATTCAACATAACCTGAGGAATCAATGCCATATATTTCTTAGAGAAGTATCTTCAGAGATTACAAATGTTACCATTATTCCTCCACAGAAATGCAGCCTGGGGCAAACTGCCAAATTTTAACACTAAACCAATAAGAAACTCCACAGCCTCAAATATTCCTTGTCCTCTCAGAGCCAACATTTCTTCATTCTGAAAACAAAGATAGTTGTATTTGACCTAGAATTTAGGATACATGACCCCCTGCTCTGCACTGGCCCACTCAGTCTCTAACAAAGTTATTTCGTTAATGCAATGCAGCTTGAAATTGTCCATAAAAGCCTGTGCAACCTGAGAGGAGAATCAGTCTTCTCAGCATCTGGGATCCCTAAGTAGCATCTGCATAATAGAAATGTTTTTTAAATTTATGTTTGCAAATAGCTTGGATAATATTTTCCAAGTTTGAGATGAGCTATCAGTCTTTGAAAGAAGGTGATATTAAAAGACTTGGGCTTTATATATAGCCCCCAAATGAAGGCTGACTCTCCACTCCTTCACTCACTGTCTACATGACCTTGGGCAAGTTAATCCATCTCTCAGAACCTTTCTTTCCTCACTGTCAAGATTGCATGAGCCAACTCCTGGCATAGAGACGTGCCACCCTTGGTCCCACTTAGATTCTACATACACATTTGGAAAGGCAATGAGAACACTTTTCTTTATTAACTGAGAAAGTCAGAACCAAAAATTGAGCTCACTTGGTACATCAGAAAAAGAGCCATGGATCAGCCTCTCTCAGCACCAAATGTGGAAGAGTTTGACAAGGAAAATGCTAACATCTCCAAATCCGCAGCCTAAGGAGAGGAAAACTGGGCTTTCAGGTCGGGCTCTCCTCTTCCAGAGGCAGCCAATTTGAGGATGATCTCACTACAATGTCTTCAATCTGGGTCCTGTGACTCACTAAGGAGCTGGAGGAAGAGACCTATATTAAATTCCCATTTCCCAAAGGTTCCTAGTCCAAGATTACAGATAATCCTCTCCAACATCCTCAGAACCCAGGGTCCCCATTTTTCACTTTAGTAATTAAAAGCAAGGATGCTGGAGCCAAACTGCCTGGGTTCAAATCCCAGTCCTGTCACTTATTAACTGTGTGAACTTGGGTAAGCAATTTTAATCTTCCTGTGCCTCACAATCATACATTGGTCACACATACAAAAATTCTCATCCAATCACACACACATACATGGTCGCACAATCACACACATAATGTCACACACATGCACAGTTGCATTAACACAAAGAGATGATGATACACAATTACTCCAACAGACAGTTTGCACGCAATTTCACACAGTTACATATCACACAAGGTCACATATCCTGTCACAATTACTCATACAAAATTATAGCTGCTGAGATAGGTGGTCATGGTTACACAAGCACACCTGCTGTCACACACAAACAGTTATGTCCACAAGAGGCAAGTGGTCAAACACACACACACGTCATACCCGCAGTGTCACACAAACCCGTACACGTAACACAGATACTTGCAGAGACAGTGACACACAAACACACAGTCATTGTTTTATATCAGCGCATAATCACACGGCAACACACAAAAATCACTCTGTCACACCCGCAGCCTCTCACATAGTTATAGATGGTAGGTACACACAGTCTCCCCAACGACGTCTGCCCGGTCACCATGCCTGTCCACCCGATCCACCCCAAGCCGGTCCCTGACCGCTGGCTCTCGCGCGCAGTCAGGCCCTACTCACCTCCCAGGTCCGTGGACTCTGGAGACCCGCCCAGCTACCGGAGACCCGCGATGTCGCCTCCCAGAATCCCCAGGGGGCAGGAAAGGGGCGGGGACTGAGGCGCGCGAGACCCCTGAGCACCGCTGGGGGAACATCCAGCAGCAGGGATCGGGACAAGCTACTCAGCTTTTCCTTCCGACTCCGCGAACCACCAGCCCCAGAAGGCTTTGCGCCGCGGCCGTTGCTGAACTACATTTCCCAGAGGGCCCCAAGGGCAGCCTCTACTTAGTGCTGGCGCTACAGGCGGCGGGGGCGTTATGTGCGGGTACCCGGAGAGCTGTGTGCAACCCGGGGCGACCCTGGGCACTTAAGCGACCTTAGGCGACTGTGTGTGAAGAAACGGTGAAGATGCGCGTGTCCATGACTGTATGCTTAGGTGTGGCGGTTTGTGTGTGACTGTCGCTGCACGCTGTTGTGCTTGGGCACCAGGGGGCGACGGATTCTGTCAGTGCAGTGAGTTTTTGTATTTTTAATCACGTCCTGTGACTGGGGGTCGTTTTGTGACAGATTGTGGGTCTTTCGCGCAGAGAGTGTGAGAGTAGTTGTGGGTGTGAGAGGGATTGTGGCAGACTTTGGGCGTGACCGTTTCTGTAACTGTGTTGTTATCCCAGAGGTCGCAGGAGTTTACCTCTGACATGCGGTGGAACTTTGTTTCTAGTCTTGCCTTTAGGGTTGAGTCCGTGGGAGAAGTCTTTGTGTGTCTGTGTATGTGACTGTCTCCAGATCTAACTGTTCTCCATCCTCCACCCTATCCTTCACTCCCCTGCCATGGGCGGGGCACTGTTACCTTCATTTTTATATCCCTTATCTCCTTGCACCTGATGTGGTTGGTGTATGCATAGAAGGATAATTAGATTCCATTTGTAGTAAGATGCTCATTTGCACCAAGGCTGTTTATAATGTTGTAGCCAGTATCTCTGGGATTTCTCTTGTTGCTGCTTCTACCTTTTCACTTTCCAACTTTAATTAGGGCCCAGCTTTAAGAAAACTGTTCACAGTCAGGAGGACAAATGTGAGCCTCTGAGTGATGTTAAAGAAAACCAGAGCTGAGCAGTTGAAGTGGGAGTAAAAAAAACAAAATAAAAAACCAGCAGAACGATTTTATTCAGGAACTATCTAAGGGACTTCATACAGAAATGGGCTCAATTTCAAATACATCAAGAACAAATGGGGATTTGTAAGAAAGGAGCAAGGGTTGGAGAGTGTGATGGAAAATTACTAAGAGGAGACATCAAGGGTAGGGAGGAATTCTTGCTAGACTGACCAAGATTCTTGCTGAGGGGAGGCCAGGGTGAATAAGAAATTTAGATATTGTGAACACATATAAAGAATTCTGGCTGAACCAATATGACAGAATTCTTGCTAAAACTGGGTGATACAAAGGCAAACACTGAAGCCAAAAGGTTGAAGTCAGATTGAGAAGCGTGTTCAGAGAAGCCTGAGTAAAGATTGGTCAAGAAGAAAATCTTTGTCAGTGAAAGTTCCAAAGCAAGCAGCATTCTTCCCCATCCCGAGACCCTGGAAGATCTAGAAAGTGCACCCAAGTCAAGATCTTGGTAAGGGATATGTGGAAGCAAGGGAAAGTTCTTGAAAGGAGAACCCATCCTTGGAGAATTATCCATCTAATCCCTTCCCCCACAAAGAACCCTCTGGCTACCAGGGCTGAAATGACTTGCTATTTACTCTGTGAAATTGGTCGTTACTTTCAGGAAAAAAGCAAGCAATTGTCTTCTTAAGGGTCTACAAACATTTAATAGTTGGGTTGCTTTAATGGGGAAATTTACTAGTTAAACATTCTTTGGATGATAATCATGGTTTTTTGCAGACAAATACATCAAACAGCTCTCCCCTAAACTTGATTGTCATGTGTTGGGAGCTGGCTGGGATCAGCCAGGGACACTGAGGCTTTAGGTTGGCAAGCTTCAGTCTCCAGGTAGATACAGGCCTGGGGTGAGCGGCTTTGCAGCAGTTTGGTGGGGACCTGTGGGACAGTGCTTCTGCCTTAAACTGCTTCCAGACAACGCAAATGCAAAGAGTAAAGACCCCAGCTTGCTGATAGGAAAAGCTTATGGACTAAGGGACTCAGTTGCTCATGGACTATGGACTTGCAGTTTCAACATACATCACCACCTTGGGACTTTCCACCATGTACCTGCTTCACGTGCTTGGGACTTTCTACTGTGGACTTGTAGACAGTTTTTATTTGCCTCAGTTTAACCTTGCCTAGCTATATCATTGGTTTATATTGTGTATAATATAGCTTGTTGCCGAGGAGAAATTGTTTCTCCTCAGCCCATGAGTTTTAGCTTTAGGGAATCGTTCCCTAAAATGTGGAAATTGCTTCCCCTTAAGAATCTTGTATGACCAATAAACGAGGTCTCAGTTTGACACCAGCAGACTGAGTCCCTCCTGTCCCCACACTTTGTCTCTCTTCTCTTTTATTTCTCGTCTCCCACCCAGTCATCTCAGGGACCTGTTTAGTGAGCTCCTGGCCGACAAGCCAGGGGCATTCGGTTGAGCGAGCTGGTCTCGTTCAGTCATGCAGGTTAGAGATTATCTTGGACATTTCATACTAAAGTGCTAAAAATTTAAGATACTTCATTCTTGACTGGCAAGATACACCTTCAGAGAAACTTTGTATATGTACGACTATCTTTTCATGTGTCAGTAATTGATCATAGGAAGACTTTTTGTCCTTTATTTGTATTTATTATCTCAAACCACCAAGTCCAACACTGGTTTGACCCAGTCATCTCCAGTAGAGTAGGTCAATGATCCTCGAAGTTTGCCAACTAAGTAAGTGGTTACACTGCTAAAAAATTATAGTAGGACTCTGTCCATAAGTCAAGAAAGCAGAACTACACTGGGAATTCCAAGCAGGAGATTAATTACGGCAAGTTGATTACACAATGTTGAATGACTGAAAGAGAAAAGGGGGATAAAATTGTAACATCAGGAAGCAGCTTACACTCTGGATCTTGGGAAACAAAGGATTTAACAGAACCTAAGTTCTCTGAAGAGGGGTCTCAGGCTGGCTGTTAACTGGATTTGATAGTCCAGCTCTCGGAAAAGAGAAAGAATCTGCAGACCAGTTATAGCCCTCCTCTGCTGCTAGAGAGATACAAAACTACTAGAAAATAGTAAGCAAGGTCTTTCTCCCTTTCTGGCTTCCAACCTCCCTTTAATGCCTCCAATGGCAAACTACAATAAAACAGGAAGCCAGCTAGCAAGGGAGACTGGGAAACGTCTTTGTCAGAGTCCCAGCCCCAGCATCACAGGACAGAGAAAGGCATGCTTGGAGCTAAAACGGTGATGGAAATCAGCACGTAATCCTTTTTAAATTTGCTGGAAAGTAAATTAATTTGTATACTTTTACAAGTTCATTTTTCTTCCCCAAAATTTTTCTTCACAATGCGGCCATGTTCTTATAAAAGAATCCTACTAGATGACAAAAAAATGGTGCATATCTAGTAATGGTATCTTAATAACAAACCAATACAAATTCTGACATAGTTTTGGTCTAGTTCAATATGCAGTTATTTGGATGAACTCATATTTTTACCTATTTTGTTGTAATTTATATAACAAATATACATTTTCCCAACTTTGTTATTTTATAAATATTTCATGGTGAATGAACCACTAATTGCCCCCTTTGTCTTCACAGTGTGAGAAACATGGTATGTGATTTTTTGGGGGTAAACTTTTATGCATATTATTTCTTTTTTAATTAGTTTCAGGTGTACAAAGCAATGTAATAGACATTTAAGCAATGTAATAGACATTTAAACCATGTAATAGACATTTAAACCCCTCAAGCTACTACCTCTCTGACATCTTATATAGCTGTTACAATACCATCGACTATCTTCCCTATGTTGTACTCCACATCTCGTGACTACATATACCTGTATATTTAGTTATAGTTGACATTCAATATTATTCGACTTCAGCTTCAGGTGTATAGTGCATTGGTCAAACATCTACACAGTCTATAACGTGAGCCCTCTCATGAGTCCAGTGCCCATCTGGCACCTTACATGATCTTCACAACATTGTTGATTATATTCCCCATTTGTATTTCTTAATGCCTTCACCTTTATCACCCTGCCTCCAACCCCATTCCCATCTATCACCCTAATAGATCTAGTACCTATCTGGCACCATACTAGTTATTACAGCATTATTGAGTATATTCCTTATGCTATAGCCTACATCCCCATGACTATTGTATAACAACCAATTTGTACTTCTTAGTCCCTTCCCCTTTCACCCATCCTTAACCCCCCTCTTATCTTAAAGAAGTCCCTGTAAGATTCCTTGTAATACTGGTTTGGTGGTGATGAACTCCTTCAGCTTTTTCTTGCCTGGAAAGCTCTTTATCTGTCCTTTAACTCTAAATGACAACTTGCTGGGTGGAGCAATCTTGGTTGTATGTTGTTGCTTTTCATCACTTAGAATATTTCCTGCAACTCCCTTCGTGCCTGCAAAGTTTCTGTTGAGAAATCAGCTGACAGCCTTATGGGGGGTCCCTTGTAAGTAACTAATTGCTTTTCTCCTGCTGCTTTTAAGATTCTCTCTTTGTATTTAACCTTTGGCATTTTAATTATGATGTGTCTTGGTGTTGGCCTCTTTGGGTTTATTTTGTTTGGGACAGTCTGTGCTCCCTGGGCTTGTATGACCATTTTCTTCACCAGGTTAGGGAAGTTATTCTGTCATTATTTCTTCAAATAGGTTTTCAATTCCTGGCTCTCTCTCTTCTCCTTCTGGTACTCCTATAATGTGAATTTTGGTATGCTTGATATTGTCCCGGAGGCCCCTTAAACTGTCCTCAATTTTTTAGATTCTTTGTTATTTTTGCTGTTCTGGTTGGGTGTTTTCTGCTACCTTATCTTCTACATCGCTGGTTGGATCCTCTGCTTCATCTAGTCTACTGTTGATTCCCTGTAATATATTCTTCATTTCTGTTATTGTAGTCTTTATTTCTGACTTGTTCTTTTTTATGGTTTTCATCTCCATTTTTATGTTTCCTATCTCTCTGTTGAAGTTCTCCCTGAGATCATTGAGCATTCTTATAACCAGTGTTTGGAACTCTGTGTCTAATAGATTGCTTATCTCCGTTTCACTTAGTTCTTTTTCTGTTCTTTTTA